GGGGTAAAAAAAAAAAAAAAAAAAAAAAAAAAAAAGGATAGGTACGGTAGTAAAATTAGTTAATGAGCGAGATGGACTCGTTATGACGTCTCTAAGTAATTGAATAATAGGATACCATCATTTTAAAATTCTTAATTATTCTCAATTCGGGCGACAGTCGAGCTTTAGCATCAACTGAGACCAGCTCAGCAGACGTTCAGCATAGCAAGAACAGCCTAGTACAATAAAAACATAAGAACAGACTCGCTTTCCTCGGGTGGGATACCGCAATGCGTCGAGCATAGCAATAACCCCAAGAAAAAGGACAGATCACGATCCGCGGAACAAGAACTGCATATCTTCTGGCGTGAGCTTTTCCAGCGCCTCCCCTTGATCTTTGTTCAGCGTGCCGTTGATGAGATTTGCCTTCTTCTCTTGCAGCAGAACAATTCGCGATTCTACCGAATCCTCAATGCAGAGCCGGGTGATGACACAGGGCCGACGTTGACCAATACGATGGCATCGGTCTGCGCTTTGCCATTCGGCAGCTGGATTCCACCACCTGATGGATTCCCGTTAGTACACGACTTTGACCAGGTATGTAGCAAGATGCTCGAGCGATACTTACGGATCGACGATGAAAACTCTTGAGGCTTCGGTCAAGTTCAAGGCGACACCCCCTGCTTTCAAAGACACAAGGAAAACCTCTACATCAACGTTATTCATGAAATAATCAATTGATTTCTGACGCTGTGCAGGCGTCATCGTCCCATCCAGCATGACGGTGTTGAAACCAGCCCGACGAAGACGCCATTCAACAAGCTGAAGCATCGAGGTAAATTGCGAGAAAACGATAGACTTGTGAGTCTGCTTCTGGCTCCTCAATTTGTACAGCTCGTAAACAAGCATTTCGATCTTCGTCGATGACGTCCAGTCCTCCATTCGGATGCGATTGATGATGGAGTTCTTCTTGATGTGCTCCGCCTCCTGCTCAATATCTGGCTGCTCGAAATCAATGGAGAGGGGGATGTGACAACGAGGACAATCAACGACGCTGTCTGCTTCGAAAGACTGGATGTAATCTTTGGCACAACGACGGCAAAACTCATGATGACAACGAGACCGAATAGCCTCTTCCGCAGGCTCATCACAGATACTGCATACAAGGACGTTCTGACCACCGGCAGCATGCTTCTTCAGGATCAGGTCTGGATGATTCGCAACCTGCCGCATCTGCATGATCAGACCGAAGATGTTGGCGTAGTTGTTCAACATCACACCTCGACTAACGTATGTATCGAATTGCCTTGTAGAATTCGTCATGATACTCCTGGAAAAGTCACGTTCAATTTCTCCGAAAAACTCGTTATGCAAAACGACGCGTTTCGGAGGGAGCTCCATTGAAGCGGTGTGATCGCGCTTGACTCGTCGCAGCATGATCCTGTCAGTGATCAGGCGAAGTTTGGCCAAGGCCTCCTTGCGGGCTTCTGGATTGTCTCGTTCGGTAATGGGATTGAGGATCTCCTGATTGAAGACTGATACATGGCTGAACCCACTGTGCTTGCAATTGCTACAACGTTTATCCGCGTCCTGGGACCAATGAAGTTGCTGACATTTGCACTGTTTGCAGAAGTAGCACGCAAATGGGCGTACTTCCAGGAAACGAAGAAGAGAGAAGAACTCGCCGATCCGATTCTGAACAGGAGTGCCGGAAAGACACCATTTATAAGAGGCTTTAAGGGCAAAACATGCACGTGCAACACTGGTAGTCCGTTGCTGAGAAGCATTAGCAAATATCAAATTGTAAAGTTCAAGGGTCTCTTTGATATACCTTGATGCTATGCGCTTCATCGAGAATAAGGCGGTGGTAGTCAATGGCATGAATGACACCTTCTCATTGTCAGTGGGCCTTCCTTTGCTGTACCATTGTGTCGATAGACTCACTATCTTCTTTCACGATCCCGTCGTTGCGGTTCCATCCTTTCCATTCCTTCCGATGAATGGATTCGAGGCCGGAATCTACATCCGACATTAGACCGAATTTCACACTTGCAAAAAATATAACCCACAAGAAATCATGATCACATCATAAGATTCAAGGTCTTGCTTTGTTAAGTGTTTGACCTTGGCATTGGAATTGTGGTACACAAGAACCTTCAACTGGCCATTCGTGTATTCCTGAGGTCATAAGATTAGCGCCGTAACAATAATTAAAACACGCAGAACAGACGTACTTTGATCTCAGACTGCCATTGCATCAAAGCAACTGGTGGCACCACAACAAGCGATGGTTTGCCAACGGGATAATCAGACATGAGAAGGGAGACCGCCTGGATAGTCTTTCCCATGCCCATCTCGTCACCCAGCAAACCACCTTTATATTGGCTTTTCTCTTGCTGCAACATCCAGTTCAAGCCCTCGAGCTGGTACGACTTCAGCGTTCTGGAAATGTCCGGAGGCTGTTCTGCTGGTACCGGTGTAATAGGGGGCGTGTTCTTCAAGTCGTCCCACATTTTTGTGATGAGAGGGTGTTGCTTTTCAAGTTTGCGTCGCTCCCTGTAAGCCTAGATGCTGTGTTAGAGCAATATGACGTTGGACGAAGCGAGCATACTTACTCGTTGACTCATCCAAGGTGGGATAAGAGTGCGTCGTTGGTTTGCACGAGACCTCAACGCCTGCCTCCGCGCTCGCGAGCCTGAACTGGTATTTGCTGTGCCGGAGATTCTCGCCCTTTCGGCAATCAACGGTTCCTCCTCGCTACTAGACGACGGAGGACCGTCTGCTTCCGAATCCGTTTGATAGTTGCCATCCCCTGCTTCATCATCACTTAAGTCAGAAGCTTCGCTGTCCGGAACGGTTCGCTGCGTTGTCGACCGCCGATAAGTCCTAATACTGCGCTTTGGCTGCCAAGGCTCAAGGTCCCCTTCATCCTCTGCATCATCGAGGCCGTCAGATTCGATGTTTTCCAGGAGGTCATCATCCTCAGTAGAATCTTCGCCCTTCGGGGTGTCACGACTGGCGCTCGCGGCAACCTTCCGACGCTTGGAAAAGGATTCCTGATATTCTTGCATTTGCAGAGCCTCAGCCAAAGCCTCGTCTGAGGTACCCAGAGTCGAGTCATCCGGGGAGATTGCTGCGGCGTTCCGCTTAAGTCCTTTTTGCATGCTGCTGAGGGGCATTGTTCTTGAGCGTAGTTCCCGAGCTCGTGTAGAAGCATTAACTCTCCTCCTGGGCTTATTCACATCCGACTCGGCAGGAGTCATAACAACGCTAGTTGCAGGAGTATCATAGTCGTTTCTTCCTTCCCCAAACGTGTCTTCCGAGGAAGAGGAAGAAGAAGCGCACGGAGGTGACTGCTTCTTCAAGGGTATAGCAACTTCGACTGAAGCAGAGACACAGCTCGGCTCAATCGACACCATATGACGCTCTTCATTTTTCTGATCAGCCCCGTGGTCACTCGGACGGTCGGTGGTGGATCTGGTGTTTGACTGTGCTAATCGCAGGGACGTGCGTCTCGGCAACGATGATTGCTTGTCTTGAGGTACTGGAACCAATCATTAGCCTTATGAATGGACTGTGTTGGACGAGATTGTAGTAGAAAGCTTCAATCTTCAAATTCAAAGATGGGTAGCATGTTTGGGAGGATATCTGACATGGAAGCGACAGCACTTACCAACAGATGGCATTGTTCCTTTTGCTGTGGAAGCCCTTCTCCCCATGATGACAGGATTTCGATTATCTACCAAATGGTTCTGGTTTCCCTGTCAAAAGCAGGATCTGGGATGAGTGACAAACTGAAGTGTGCCCCTGGTCCCTGCTCAAAAATTGATAAGAATGTTGGTGGCAAATATCGGCACTGCTGGTATGGACCTTCGGTCGGAAAAGGGAGGCAGCAGTGTTGGAACTTTGGGAAGATTTGGAAAATTCTTTCACAGCTCGACAGGAACACGGCCTGTGATTCACAGACCTGTAACTACCCCCTCGTATACGACTCTTGGCGAGTCCAAGTAAACTCCTTTCATCAAAGTTCTTCTGTCTCTCCTACTTCTCACCAGGCCCAGACAATTCAGTCTTTATCCAGGAAACGCGCTGATAAGGACAACACCTAATTTCGCGTAAAGTGGAACACGAAATTACCACGAGTCCTGTGACCTGAAGCTTATCAGACCTGCATCAATCATCTTAGCACCACCTTGAATCAGACTATCAGTAAAGAGGTTTTGCATGAAATATGTACGTTTCGGTCGTTCTGAGGTCTTCGAGGCTGTCATTCTAATTGTTCGCAGGGCAAATAGAAGGCCAACAAGAAATCAGATAAGGGGCCCGTAAGTCCTCGACCCTTTCTCCATCCGCCTGGTCGATCTCGCTGATTCATGATTTCGCAGCCATTCTGCGCTCACTGATTTCTTAGCTGTAAGTACCTCATTCTTCTAGCATCATTAAATGACCATGTCCGTGCTGATACTTGAATTCTCTAGTCCAACAACATCTCCGCCGCTCAGATTCATCAAGACTACCAAAGACGAGTGAGACAAGCCGAGCAAGAGGCGGCTGCGAACGAACCGGCAGATGAACTCGAGGAGGCAGATGAATATGAAGACAATGACGGCGAAACGGCCGAGCAGAGAAAGAAACGCAAGCGAAAGGAGGCAGCGATGCTCACAAAGATCAAGCAGAGCAAGGAGTTCGCTCGCCGCAAAGCCCGCCGCACTGGGGAACCCGATGACGACGACGATGTCATTGCTAGAGAAATGATGTATCAAAAATCCCGACCGATGCCAGGCCAACTTGAGAATTGTGAGCTGTGCAATAAGCGTTTCACGGTCACTCCATACAGCAAAAGCGGCCCCAATGGTGGTCTCCTCTGCGCCAAATGTTCCAAAGAGGTAGCAGACGATGAAAGAAAATCAAAAGCTAAGAAGCAAGTGCCAAGAAGTGGTCGTCGGCAGAATCAAAGCAACTTGCTTGACGGAATCGTTCAGCAAGGTGCTCTCAGTTTGGTCGAGATGTGTGCAAAGGTGAACATTTTTGACCAATCCTTCGATACGTCTTGTTCGAGACTGACCGCATTCAGAAAGTTGCTGATAACCACAACGACATCGAAGAATTTGGGGACTTACCGTCACGGTTGCTTCGGCGCCTTAGCCAGATATTTTCCAAGAGGCGGATTCTTACATCAAGGACTTTGAACTTGTTCCTGCGACCTGAACTGAATTTCATTGACATCTACGATGCGGCTAGTATGTCTCTACTTGTTATATCAAATTCTTCACGTATTAATGTGTCATAGAACTCGAAACGGACGACTTTCACAAAATATTCGCTATTATGCCGGCCTTAAATCGTGTCAATCTCCGATTTGCGGGCCAAATCAAAGACAGAGTTGTTGAATACATGATTGACCGGGATCTCCAAGTCAGGCAACTGCAGTTAGATGCCGCTAACCTTGTCTCTGATACTTATTGGCGGCGGCTCTTCCAGAAATTGGGATCACAGCTCGAAAGCCTGAAACTGTCGAATCTTGACTTTTCCTTTGATGAGGAAACCGTGGAGACACTGTGTAGAAACTGCACAGCCCTCAAAAGACTAAAGCTGAAGCAATGCTGGAAAATTGGTAGCAATTCTCTACGGGCAATTTCAACTTTACCAACGCTTGAACACTTGTCTCTCGATACTGTCCAAGAGTTGGAGATTGAACCCTTTTTACAGATGGTCAATACGCTTGGCCCGAATCTACGCACATTATCCCTGGAGGGCTTCCGCAACGCTGATGATCGGCTTTTGGATATTATTCATGACAAATGTCGGTTGCTTTCAAAACTCCGTTTTTCAGACAATGCTCTGTGCAGCGACAGAGGCTTTGTCAACCTGTTCACGAATTGGGCCAATCCTCCCTTAAGATTCGTGGATTTGTCGTCCACGCGAGACGTGGATAATGCTAACCCTGATGGTCCTGTCGAGGCAATTGGGCTCGCATCTCAAGGGTTCATTGCGCTCATGAACCACTCAGGCTCGACCCTTCAGAAACTGAACATCACATCGTGCCGTCACATATCACGTGCTGCTTTCGAGGAGGTGTTTTCAGAAGAAAAGACATACCCGTTCCTGCAGGAACTGGACGTATCCTTTCATACGGTCATGGATGATTTCCTCATTGGTAAAATATTCCAATCCTGTCCAGCGATCAAGAAAGTTGTGGCTTTTGCATGTTTCAATGTGCGCGATGTCCAGGTTCCAGTTGGCGTTGCATTGGTTGGAGGCTTGAAGACCCAGCACTCCATTCATTGAGGGCCCAGCGTCTGGTTAATCAGATCACCTAGGCAAAAGACTCTCCAAGATACTTTAGGACAAGGCATGAAGCTAAGGGGATGACATATCTGCGTTCCATGTGGCGTAATGAGTGAGCTTAACCAGACTTTCGCCTCTGATCCTTTCTTCAAGCGTTACAGTGTTACATTATCTTATAGCTTGCTGCATGAAGTGCTTAAAAACCTTGCAAGGAAGCTCTGTTTACCCCATATCGTCAATGCAACACAAACCAGCAATATCACAGTAGGATGCGCTCTGTCTTTCTCGATGACATGATGAATCAAGTACCTATGTTGAATGGATCGAACGGTGAAACAACATTGCATCAAAGCTTAAAACATGGATGTGTACGAGTGGCTCTTGACCGTGACAGTTGATGCAGGTTTCCTATGTTTGGAAGGGGACTTCGCCTACTTCTATCAACCTACCTACCGAGATGTCTCGCCCGCGTCGCCAATATTCGTACCGAAGACGTTGCTTTCTAGCCTGAAACCCGTCCTCAACCGATCAATGACTATGTCGAAGCAGGATATAGTCATTCTGGATATGTCACGACTGTTATTAAATTGGAAAAGCTAATAATCAAGCGAAAGCTGGCAATTGGCGTCAAACATTACGAGCTTTGGTCAAACCAGGCACCGTAGAAGTATCAGAAACATATTTCGGTGAACTTCGGATGAAGAGTAAGATCTCAAGGATAGAAACCTCTTATAATAGAGTGACAAAGTGATCTGCATAATTGCCTTCCAGTCTGCTTGCACAACTAATCCAGCGCATCTTCATGCAGGCACTCTAGTAAGGTATCGGTGGTCTAGTGATAATAGCCTCGACGTATGCTACTTTGATAAAAGCGCATGTGCGTGATAGTTGCATCTGATTTGAGAGATTTCCCCGACTAGCTTGGGGTGCCTACCTTAAGTAAGGTAAGGTACGGTGCTTGGTAGGTACCTTAGGTAGGTACCTTAAGATACCTCTGGCCGGATACCTAACGTACCTTATGTTAGCGACACAGTATCAGTACAGTACCTGGAATACCTACGGTACCTTTGTACTAGGTCTACGCAACTAGTAGCATCGGGCTAGGATTGGCACCTACCTTTATTATTTAGTTTTCTTCAAATGCATTCTCAATAAACGGTTGGAATGTTTTTGTTGGAACGGTCCTTTTTTAAATTCCATCAAGATGATCAAGTACACCACATCTTCACTGATTTCAAGTACACCACATCTTCACTGATTTCGTGGTGATTACATCTACGATCATTGCTCGACTCCGGTTCGAAGGGATCTGTTGATTGCATGCTATATTTGGCACGGCTTAAGTTACAACTTCGTACCCTACAAGTCACAATTAGGTATTAGTATATTATTCCATAAGCTCCACACTCTCGGCTCCCAAGGCGCCACCGCGAGTTACCATAGAATCTGGACTAAACAATACAGTGGTTCGGTACCTTACTGCTTAGCTTCTTGCTCAGTGCCAACATTCGGCTGATGGAGTTGATCAGAAGATATCTGGATTATCAGGATTCAAACCTTGACGTTCCGAGTCAGAAATAATGATCCCTCGGGAAGCTCGCCATCAGTCTATTGCTTCTGATACCTTTTCTAAGCTGCTAGCTGTTGAATGAGGTCATACAACATTACAAGACGGGCAACCTCTCTTACAAGTGGGAGCTGAATTTAATTTGACCCTTAACCCCTTTGCTGGGCTATGTTTTTCCGCCGCTTTTTTCTATTTTTGCCAATGGGACAGGAACAGTGCTAGAGATCCTAGTGGCTCACGCATCTTTCTCGTCCATCCACCTCAGTCAGGGGGCGACATCTCCGAGGTCGATATCTTTATGCAAGTTCTGTGCAGGGAATCTTTGAATTATTGGATCATAAGCAGGAAAACTCTTGATGTGTTCTCGAGACATGTTCTCAAAACAATCCCAGTACGCTCATCTTCTACCTTGCAAGAATCTGTTCTTATTATATGGCTTCATCTCAAGTCTGTGAAGGTTCAGTGGTTGATGAGCGAGGGTGAATCATATTCAAGGACTTCGGAATATGCAGTTCGATAGTAATAGTGCACCAAGCCCTGTCGATGGCCATAACTCTAGAAACTCGTATGGAACAACGCCTTGGCTACCTAGAAAAAAGCAGGCTGGAAATCAAAAGCATGAAATACTTGGCCAATATGGAGTTGGGAGCAAATACTCCGTATGCTGACTCTATCCAGTCAAGCAGGTACACGGTACCCAAACCACCTGATCGAAGAGCATCCCCATTGGACTCCATGGCATATTGCTCAAAATTCGATGACCCCACCACAGATGATAAAAGACTCCGACCCTGAAAAAGACTACCTACCAATACTGACCTCTCTACTTTGTTGGCCAGGTCCCTTCTTGAGTGTCTCTCAAGTAGCTATCTGAGTCTACTCCGTAAATATTACTGCTACAGTATCTTCAGGTTGTTGTGGGTCATAGAAGGCTGGGAACGTACTATTAAAGCTAAATTACCTTAGGTACTGCGTACTGAGTATCGTAATCCGTACCTAAGATAGAAAGGCTTGAGAGCTATCTAGATGATTTTCGATGCAAAAGCCATCTTTCTATTATCAACTTCCATGTCACTCCAAGTTCTCAAGTTCTGTATTATCTACCTATTTTGGTATTAATATTTCTGAAATACAAGCAAGAGCCAAAACCATGGTAAGATTCCGCGAAGTACATAGGTAATGTAAGTAAGGTACGGAGTAGCAGTACCTAGATAGCTACCTTAGGGGATTACAACTCACCAGGCCCAGGACCCGGGTACCTTGGATATTAATAGGAATTATACCGATGGCTAGACAGGTTTCCATCCGTGCCTAAGGTATGGAGTAGGTCCTTCTTCTACTATCTATCTACCTACCTTACTTTAATTCTGATGATTCGAGGTTGAGGTTTAACTATCTAGACTATCTATCAGTCCAGGCCTGCTATTAATGTCTTTTCTGGTTTCCCGCCTCCCTCTCTCTTCCTTGTCCATCCACGATTTTTATTATTGTCCGCTTCTCTGGCTGATGACTCCCCGTAGTCTCATTGTCTTCTTTCACCCCCTGTTGACTATTTATTTGTTTTCCAGTTTTTGACCACCCGCCGATTTCTCTCTTGTCATCGGACCACACCATACATACTCTTCTGACTTCTAATCCGTCACTCAAAAAGCATAGTCATCGTCATCATTTTTAATTACTGCAAAGTCCACACAGCGACAGTTGTCTAACTCTCAAACCATTATCCACTCCAAGAGCCCCGCTGGTGATTTATTTCGAGGGTCCTAGCCAGAGGCGCTATCGATTTTCTACCAGAAACTTCCCTTCGCTCATTTCGTGCGCTCGCAGTCAGCATTCTCCTTACCCCTTAATGTGTTCAAGTTCGCCCACAACAGATTTTCCCTGACGGTGCATAGCCTCGTAACCGCTGCGTCTTCATTCTTGGGCGTTTCCTCGACATAAGCCCCACCTGCATCGGAATTGAGTCGTTTCGAAAGGCCCAGAATCGCCCCTCCACAATCACCCGTTGCCTTGTTTACGGAAAGTGAGGAGCAACCCAAGAGGATAATTGTTGGAATTGCCTTGTCTGCGGGACTTTCCGTCTAGCTTGCGATTCCTCGTTGGGAATAAGTGGCCGACCTTCACAAGTCTGTGACCGACGGTCCATCTGTACAGATGCCAATTAAGCTCCCTAAGGGCTTTACCCGGCGAAAGTCGTCTGGAAATGCTCTTGAGGAGGTGGAGAATCCTCCTCCTCAGCCGTCTTTTCGAGTCTTTGAACGCCCGTCCACGGACCGAAAATCCTTAAGTGAAGGGAATATTTTCTCCAAAAGATCAAATGGAGGCCAAGTTCTGTACACGCCCACAGAAGAGGACGACAATATTTTCGCTGGATCTGAGAATTTACCACCAAAGCATCGGTACAGTTCCCCTTCCCAGTCTTGGGCAGATTAGTGGAAATATTATTGGCAGGGTTACTAACTTTAGGATTCAACTCCACTAGCAGCAATCCCGGAGGATCATCAGAAAGTTCTTCATCTATCCGATTCAGCTCATCATCGGCGCCGCGCTCTTTGACAGACATACCAATTCAATCCGACGCCCAATCCTCGCACTCTCGAAACCTGCACGACATCCCCATTCCCCCTATACCTGGTGCACTACGCGCAGCGGCGGGGAGAACCTTCTCTTTTGGGGGAAGACTCTCAAAGGCCTCGCCTTCAATCCCTCCCGCTCGACAGTCCACCCCTGGCCCATCCAGGAACAGGAAGATGACGTCCAGTACAGCCAGCACTGCAACACCACCAAAGCTGTTAGACGATCTGAATGTTGGTCAGCTTGGGGATGAATTTAAAAGTATGTTTGATGACCTCGGGAAGCGGGATAGCGCACACATTTCCGAGTCCACTTCTCCCGGGAAGCCGTTAGACATGGTACGAGCCACTCCGTTCGCTCTTTTCAGCTCCTCGTCGTTTTCTAACAGGGTCAATGTTAATAAACTTTGGTAGTCACCATCTGCGCAGCCCTCGTCCACGGCTTACCGGAAGGAAGAAAAAGTATCGCGTCCGGCCCCTATCAATACGAATGTGTCCAAGGAAATAGAACCTTCCCCTTACTCCTGGGACAGTCGACACTCCGGAGAGGGCCTTCTCAACGCTATGCAGTCCCCCGCGGAGGACTCCCCGATCAGTCTGCCTGAAGGGCGGCGGAAATCTCTTCCCTTGGCAACTGCTACGACGTCCCACCGGTCTCTGATCAAGCCTCAGACGGGAGGAGACAGAGGACTGAGGAGAAGCGTCGTCTACTCGACGAAACGGGGTTCTACGCCTATCGAAGATGAAGACGCTAAATTAATAATGGACTCCCTTCATTCAAGTAAAGGTGGGGTGCATTTTGCGTCGACGTCGGACCATGAGGGCTCGGACGACGAGCATGACACACCCCTCTTTGCTCACTCAAACACGCAAAAGTCTCCCAGCCGTTCAAAGCCACCCGCAGAACTACGACGTCAATCGCCTCCAGTGGGGGAGAGCCAACTCGACCCTTCCATTGCGGCGCACGCGCTACTGGCTGCCCAGTACGAGCAAAGCCAGCCGAAGCCCGGCACATCGACGAATAAAGTCATGACGCCTTCGCAATTTGAGCATTATCGGCAGCAGCAAGAACTCAGGAGGTCCAACAGTGATGCTTCCAGGAGTGAAGACTCGGCCGAGAGTGATTTCGATGAAGACGACGAGGCAGAGAAGAACCGGGAAGCTGAAAGGCAGCGACGGAAGCAGGAAGCTCATCTATCTGTATATAGACAGCAGATGATGAAAGTCACAGGCCAACAGTCTCCCGCACCACCGTCCCTTCGACCGGAACTTGACCACGCCAGCAATAGTACGCCGAACCTGACGATCAATGCACCAAATTCTGGCAACAGATCGGGCAGCGGGAAGAGCAGCGAGGGTGATGAGGACGAGGACATACCGCTAGGAATCCTTGCTGCACATGGTTTTCCAAATAGAAACCGCCCCCCAAGTCGCTTGGCACCTTCAAGTTCCATTCCGAATCTTCGGGCCTCGTTCCAGCAGCCTTATGTCGCTTCTCCAGGCTCCGTCGCTGGGGACAATGATTTGACTAATCGCAGCAGCTTACCTGTCTTTGCTCGAAACCTCCCTCGGGATCCGTACTACGGGGCAAGCTTAGTCAATCCCCCAAACAGGGAGTCCTTGGCTTTTGGAGGGGGTGCGTCGGTGCATGGGGGCCCCTCTGCTTCGGCTGCATTGCCTCCGGGTGGCTTGGTGGGCGTCATCGCTACGGAAGAGCGAGCAAGAGCAATGAGACGAGGCAGCCCCAATACTCAAGCCGTTTATGAGTTCCAGAACGGACTGGGAGCATCAGGGGTACCCACCCCATCGGGCGGCGTCCCAAGACCTTACACGATGATGGGTATGAATCCCCCGATTATGAATACCCCGAACCTTCAGGCGGGAGTCTCTGCTACAGAACAGGCGCAGATACAATTGTCACAGCAGATGTCACAAATGATGCAGGTGCAGATGCAATGGATGCAGCAAATGATTTCCATGCAAGGAGGGCAGACTCCGCCGCCGCAACCACTGATGTCACCCGCGGGATTTCCGCCATCGTTGTCTGCCAATGCAAATTTGAGGCCTGCTTCCATGCCTACAGCAGGACCGTTCAGTCCGGCTCCTCCTACCTTCAATGACCAAAGAACTCTAAGTATGCTGGATCCGAATGTCTCCTCTCGTCTCAATGGCCCGGCGATACCCTACCTTCCTACTGGCAACCGACCGGGCACACCGCTAGGCCAAGGTTATGCACCGTCTATTGCGCCATCAGAACGTAGCAATGTCGGCATGGCACCTCGGTATCGGCCTGTATCGACGTTGCAACCCGACCACGGATCTGCGGCCTATCCCTCGATGGCCAGACAATGGAATGATGAAAACCAGAGAACAGCTTCCCCAGCGGGACCGCTCGCGATGAAAAGTCCGTCGATGCCAAGTGTGACCGTCCGTCCCGTCTCTACCGACGGAAGACCGCAAAATGAAAGTAAGAAAGCTGTGCTAGACGACGAGGATGAAGATGAAGGGTGGGCCGAATTGTTGAAGAAACGCGAAAAGAAGAAAAGCAATTGGAGAATTAAGAAAGAAACGTCGAGTCTCGGAGACTTACTGAATGTGGTGCATTGATGATGCCCTTACTCGGCGCTAAATTTTCGGTCTCGTCACGATACCTTCTGCGTAAGCAGACATATACGCATACTCTATTACCTTGACTTACAATCCTTGCCCTTGACATCCCGGTGTTCTTGTTTCATACGGCCGAGATATCCAAAAAGCGGTTGGATGCTCCTTTCACTTTCGTCTTTTGGACCCCCCGTGTCCCTCGAATATCTATTGGCGGGTTTACGATACAGCATTGAAGACCGGCACTGCATCATGACAGCTTCTTTCTATCCATTTATTTATTGTCTTTCTCCATTCTTTAAGCAAGCTAGGGGTTTTAAGGCTGGTGTTTTGAGGCAGCAATGGTATATGATCACTATTCAGCAAAGGGTTGTGAAATCCTCTGTATCAAAGCAATCGACAAATGTATTTACTCTTGTATCTGTAATTGACTACTAGTAATATAGTGGGCATGGGCTTCTAGGGAACGCTGCTCCTGGATATTTGACTGCATTTCAATCGCTTCTTTGTTCCCCTTGTCAGTAGAATATGGCTAGCAATTCACTGGAGACTTGGTCTCCGCAGTGCTTCAATCAACTGGAAGTCCCCGAATCACATCTCCTGCTTCACACAATGTGTCCTCCACGATTGCGGATGCAGGCCGAATTTCTCGCACCAGGCGAACACCAGTGCCAGCATATGTTGTAAGCCTCCCCTTGGGTCCCCAGCCGGCATCGCCCTTCTTCAGCTCTTCTTTGTACAAGCTCTTATTCTCCTCATCACTCATTCCTCGCTCCGCAGCATCGACGTAACTCTGGTTGATAATACCGCGCCCGTCGTATCGATTAGGCCAACCCCCGATACCCCTCACTCGATCATATACAGTCGACCTGATAGTGTTGCGACCGCCATCAAATGCTCTTAAAATCTCCTTCTGATATCCGTGAGCTATATTCGCTTCTGCAGAAGCCAGGAAGCGAGTACCCATGGCAGCGCCGGTAGCCCCCAGTGCCAAAGCCGCTGCCAGTCCTCGTCCGTCAACTATTCCTCCTGCAGCTATGGTGGCTATGTGAGTTAGGTCTCGCTCCCGTAAAGCATCTTGGACCTCAGGTATCAGAGTTAAAACTGAGGCCGAATGAGCTAGACCATGACCCCCCGCATCAGAACCTTGGACGACCAAAGCGTCCGGTCGAAGGTCTTCGGCAACCGCAATCGCCTCATCCACGGCACCCACTTGCACCCAGATCTTGGTCCGACCAGAGGTCACACCACGCATCTCCTTCACCCAGGGCACTAGATCGTCCGGTTGGTTCTTTGGACCAAATAGCCACACAGCGCATGGCGTGTACTTCTGGATCGCGGCAATAGAGATTTTGAGATCGGCACCCCAGTTGATGAAGCCCACCCCAATGGGGAGCACACCTGTTTCCTCGTATACTTGCTGTGCCATACCGCCTGATTGCTTCACCAGACGGGCGGCAACTTCCAGGTTATGATCCAAGCTCGAAACATCGAATCCTGCAGCAAGAAATCCAAGCCCACCGGCGGAGGAGACAGATACTGCCAGCTGGGGGCCAGCAATGTTCAGCATTGGAGCCGAGGCCAGAAGGGGACTCTTTGTCCAAGGATAGGTTGATTTCAATATAGTTCTCGGCGACATGATATCAATACTGTGTGATGTCTAGATCTCGGATTGCCTTGAGCATAGTTTAGAGCAATGGATAACGTGCCTTAAGACTAGAGTGAGGATGCATGCCGCTTTATATCACTGTATGATACTATATTCAGCTTGCGGATCGTTTCCACCCGCCATCCCCATGCTGTTCCACATCCTCTAGGTTCTAATCCAATCAGTAAACCGCTCACTCTTCCGCAAGGGGCATCACCTCCAGCTATCTATTCAACTTGCCTTGAGTCATTGGGTGGTAAGTCACTCGGATACGGTCGGGCCGCGGGGACACTTTTAGTGATCAATATCCTTAGCATCACGTGCCTAAAATCACGGGACCTATGAAGGCGGTAGATAATGAATGATTGAATCCGATAAAAGCCATTTTGATAGTAGAACTAGACTAGACAGACCTTCTTAATTGCTTCACTCTTCCATCCATATCTTCAGTCTGCTCACAGAAGCTCACAACCCTCTAATAACTCCCCTTGCAGCTCTGTACAAAGGATTCCTCCTCCTAAACTCGGTTTATCAGGTTTGTAAGTTCTCTGTTGCCCTTCAAGGCGGTTGTCCTTAAGCATTCTTATTGGTCATTTGCTGATATCGTCTGAAAGATCAAACTACTGTTTCTTTCGTTCTTTTCCCTTTTTTTGGATATTTAAGGTGAGTTTCGATCGAGGTTTCCGAGGCGAACAGAAGATCTTACAGAGAACAGTTGCCTTTCTGGGTTCTCATCTATTTCAATTTGTCAATCATCACTTCTGTTTGTTCCTCCTTGGGCGTCGGCTCTTCCGTCCTTGAGGATCGTGGGTCTTGTGAGAGCAAGTTTGAGACAGCCGCGAGTTCACTTGTCATTCTGTCAAGATGAACGCGCCAGATCGGTAAGCAAGATTAGTTCCACTGTCTATGGACAACGCGTCTTCATTTTGATGTCTTGTCTGCCTTCTTTATCTTGTCCGGTCTTTTGTTAGGAGATCTCCCTCATAATTGCAACAAAAGGTGATGGAAGGGTTGTCCCTTGCCGAAAGTGGAAATGGAAGATGTTGCCTTCACTATGTGCAACCCTGGAACAGGGTTTCCAGCTTGGTCGTCTGCGCTCTCGGCGACGCAATCACCCACCTTCCTCATGCTTGTGTCTACCATCATCAACACAACTTCTGTTGACAACCCATTTCCCTGTTGACCTGATCGTGAACCGCTTGTCTTCCTTTGCCCAACGCCCTATAGTTTCTACATCTTGGCCTCTGGTCTTGTTCTTTGAGAGAGTCCTGTCGCCATGAGTCCAAAGAAACCATTCATGCTCCCCAACGAGATGGCCTACGCTCGTTGGATACATGCTGCTGGTGGTTCCCGTAACAATAATGCCTGCCACTCTTCCATAAATTTGGACAATGACCAGCCGCGCAGGTGCTCGCTCATATCCGATTCACTTATCTCAAGATACTCTACAAAGTCAACGAGCGTTGGGTATTCAGGCTGACACTGTGTCTTTTCTTTAGTTTCGAATCTTTTGTTCTGTCTCCTGGAGAAGAGAAAGTCGAGGTTGAGGCCGATACTCGTAAGTTCTTCCATCAAAATTCGCGGTGCAAATCAATGACGACCGATCTAATGCATCTAGGCATTCCATCTTCCTCTATTTTCACTTTCAACAAAGAGGACCACACGCTCGGCAACCTCCTCCGCTCCCGTCTTCTGCAAAATTCTCATGTGATCTTCGCTGGTTACAAGGTATGTCCGCCTTGGAAGCCGTGTTTCCCTCAAATTTATTTGAGGTCTTAAGGGCTTTCCTTGAGAGCTCTGTGATGTATGACTCTGACGAATTGTCTCAGGTTCCCCATCCTCTAGTTCCCAAATTTGAACTCCGCGTTCAGACTGATGGCGAGATCACCCCTAAGGATGCTCTGCTCGCCGCCTGTCATGACCTTGTCAAGGACCTGGGCATTCTTTCCCGCGAATTCACCAAAGAATACGAGCTGCGTAAGATGGTCGGAGCTACCCAGCAGCAGCAGAATGGTACTGCAGAAGGTGCTTAGAACATAGGCTGCGATACTGGCGAATCGAAGCTGATTTGCATCTGCTTGTTTTCCTCTGGTCTGGATTTTGGCGCCTCTGGTTTATGCGAATCACCTGTACATTAAAACGGGGCCATTTGCCATATTTTCCATGCATTGTCTTGTACGGGCTTGATGGTATCGGAAATGGCACGTTACGCGAGATGATGATTTGTCGAGTTGCTTAAAGTTTGGGCTCGGGTCTTTGGAGGAGCCTCTACACTACGAGTTCATCATGATAATGAGGGATGTTGATTGCTGTCTCTAATGATAACGTCCAATTGAATGACTATTCTTATGCAACAACAAGCAGCAGTCGAGACTTTAATACCGCGTAGGGGTTCAAAGCTACAATCAAGATTGCATTTGTGACTGGAATATCTTCAAGCTGCGATGGGTAAGCTACTGTGTATGTACGCACTGTGGGTTATATTTAGTTGACGCTTTGGATCACGAGGGGTTGGAGCCTGGGTTCCTGGAAATTGAGGCTCCACATCTCCATTTTGGGCTAGCGCCGATATTGCCTCCGCGTGCCTGAACGTCCAGGCGTCACCACAGCCGCAGCTCCTGAATCCCTCCTCCCAACTCTATCTTGCATCGTTTGGTTTCTTTCGTTCATCTGCTTCTTTGTCGTCAATTTCCTTGTTACTTGATAGTGATTTGATCTCTGTATCTTCTCGACTTGCAGTACCTATTTTCCCACTTCTAATGCGAGCGCTGTGATGTACTCTTCGTCGAACTCCTTCTTGGGCGGCGTCAACAACGCCCGCCCAGGACAGCCGCCTTTCATGCAGCAACCTCCATACTCGCAATTCCCTCAGGGTCAGCAACAAATACCACAACAGACTGGGTTTCAACCACAGCCGACCGGATATGGACCTCAATCGGCCTCTCATCTGCAGCCTCAGCCAACGGGATTCCCTACTGGACAACTGCAACCTCAGTTCACAGGCTTCCCCGGCGCAGCGCCTCAGCAGCAGCAGCAACAGCTTGGCGGCTATCAGGCGCTCGCCCAACAGCCGCAGTTCACGGGTTATCCTCCTCAAAATCAACCACCGTCGCTTCAGGTTCCTTCGACCACCGGCCTGCCCACTCGACTTGCTCCCAGGACGTCTTCGGAGATAGCCAACTCGTTCAGCGATGGTGCCGGCGTGGCGCCTCCACCACCACCCAAGTCTTCGGGGAGCAAAATTCCTAACATACGGCTATCGTTCATCACTGCGCAAGACCAAGCCAAGTTTGAGCAACTTTTCAAGTCCGCGGTGGGAGATAGTCAGACAATGGACGGTTGGTAGTCCTCAGATGACATCGCGTGATTGTGAGAATGATTTGCTGAAGTGTCTCACATACAGGGGAAAAAGCTAAGGAGCTGCTTCTACGTTCGAGACTTCCCGGCAGTGAATTGTCGAAAATATGGTGGGTAAAATGCCAATTGTTCTGAAGGCTGATCGTGAAGCTGATTATTCAATCCAGGGTTCTGTCCGATACCACCAAGTCTGGGCAATTATTCTTCCCCGAATTTGCTTTAGCCATGTACCTCTGCAATTTGAGGATCACGGGTCGAGAACTTCCAGCGACTCTACCGGACAAGATCAAGAATGAGGTTTCAAGTATGGTGGATATCATCTCATTTGGGGTTCCCGACACAGAGCCGCAAGCCGCTGCAAGAACAAACGTTCCCAGCTTCGATGCTCCATTATTGGAGAACAAATCTGCTCCCCCGGCTCCTCAGCATCCTAAGCCGCAACAGCCATCGAATGCACAGTTTCTTTCGCAACTTGCTGCGCAGCCCACAGGCTTTGGTCCTCAAGCAACCGGGTTGCAGCCCAATCAACCCTCTCTTCTTGGAGCGAACGCAGCTCTCGCCCCACAGGCTACAGGTTTCCCCGGACAGTCTCAGCAGCAGTATCTACAGCCCCAGCCAACAGGTTTAATGACCAATCCTCAAGCTACAGGCTACAATGGTCCCCGTCCCCCACTTCCGCCTATGCCTACCGGATTTGGCTCGAATCTTAGTTCAATGCAGACAGGTGGATTGGTTGCTCAGCCGACTGGAATTCCCGGCCAATGGGGGTTTGTTAACGCACCGTCGTCGGGTTTGCCCAACATCGAGGCCTTGAAACAGCAACTCATGCCTCAGCCTGGTCGTGAGGGCGGGTTTACGACAGCCGGTCTCTCTGGCAATGCTAATATTCCTTGGGCAATCACAAAGGAGGAGAAGAAAATTTACGATGATCTCTTCCGAGCATGGGATGGCTTCCATAAGGGCTTCATAGGCGGCGATACCGCTATCGAAATCATGGGACAAAGTGGCCTGGATCGCAAAGACTTGGAGCGAATCTGGACCCTTGCGGACCCCAACAATCGAGGCCGTTTGAACATGGACGAATTCGCTGTGGCTATGCACTTGATTTACAGAAAACTCAACGGGTATCCAGTCCCAAATCGTCTACCCCCTGAGCTAATTCCTCCATCAACGAGGAACTTGAATGATTCAATAGGCGCGGTCAAGTCTCTGCTGTCTCAGGATGCAGAGAATCGCAAATCTTCTGGCGCATTCTTGCAACCTCAGAAGACGGGTGTGAGTTACCTCAAGGAGCACTCATTCCGTGGCGGTGCAAGGTCTCCAGGATTCGGCCGCAAGGATGCCACTCTCTTTAAAAACAATGACGAGGCTGCTGCTGGTTACCGGTCTAGCGCTCGTCGTCGTATGGGTAATGATGCCCGGCCATCATCTCCCGCTGCCTCTCAGGCATCCGAGGAGGAGCTGTCTGTTGAGCAGCTGAAGAAGAAGATCCGGGAGACTCAGATCATGCTTGATGCTGTGGATTTCAAAGATGAAAATCGAGTCGAGGAGGATGAGGTCTTGGATCGCCGTGATCGTCGGGAAGCGGAAAGCCTCATGGATCGAATCCGTCGCGTTCAGGACGATATCGACACCAATCCTAATGCAGCCTTCCGTAACCTGGATAATGGCGCCGAAAAGAGATCCTTGCGTCGTCAGCTTCAAGCCTTCGAGGACCAGGTTCCTCAGGTCGCATCAGAGGTCCGCCGTATTGAACGTGAGATTGCCGATGCCAAACTTGAACTTTTCCGCTTGAAGGACGCAAAGGCACATCCAAATAGTGCTGCCAACATCGTTGGAACAGGACCCGGTGGCACCGTTACGGAGGCGGATCGTATCAAGGCCCGCGCCCGCGCAAGGATGCAGGCTCGGGCCGCCGAACTTGCTGGCAGACCAGTGCCTGCTTCAGTGGACGATGATGGAGCTGCAGCTCGCAGGTTGGAGGCTGAAAGTACCAGTATTCGAGCAGACCGAGAGAAGAATGAGGCCATGACGCGTGACGTCGAGGAGAGCGTGAGGGAGTTCACTCGCAGTCTTGAAGATAGCCTCAAGGAAGAGAATGAAACTTCGACACGTGAGCATGAACGGCGTCGGTGGGAGGATGCCTTGGGGGTGGAGGACGTCATTCGGGACTTCATCTACGACCTGCAACGAGGCAGCCGAACGGCACACATCCGTAAGGAAGAGTAAGTGACAAAACCGTATTAAAACGTACCTTAATCGAGCTCGAAATAACAATTGCAGGGAATCAAGAGCTTCTGCTCAAGAGCAGCGACTCCGGCACGAAGAGCCGTCCGCCGGTGTCTCTCGGTTGTCCCCTTCGCCTTCCGCTGGTTCTGCAGGTTCGTTACCGGGATCCACTCATGAAGACCGAGTGGCTGCAGCTAGAGAGCGTGCCCAAAGACGTATCGCGGAGCGCATGGCGGCTGCCGGTCTGAAGCCGCACACTGACACCTCTGAGACCCTTCTGCAACGCCAGGAGCGGGAAAAGAGGGAGCGAGAGGAGCGTCTGCGACGAGCAGAGGAGGAGGACGCGAAGAGAGAGCAAGAGAGACAACGTCGCTTGGCTGAGGAGCAGCGTAGCACTTCTAACGCACCTGCCAAACCTGTGGGCAAGAAGCCACCCCCAGCTCCGCCTTCACGCCGAGGCCGCACGGACAGCGCGGGCCAGGCTGAAGTGAAAAAGGCCGCAGAAGAAACGGTTACTGCGGAACAGGCAGCCCGCGAACAAGCTATCAGGGAGGAGCAACAGGCACAAGAAGAGGAGACGAATCGCCTCGAGTAAGACCCATCACCCTACCATTGTTGCTTCAAGGTACATTTCTAACGATGCTCTCACTCTCCTGCAGAATGGAAGCTCAGAAGCGTGAGGAGGAACTCCTCAAGGAGAAAGAGGCACAAGAATCTCGTCTCCGTGCACTGGAGGAGCAAGTCAAGCAAGGCAAGATCCGGAAGCAAGAGGAGAAGCGTCGCAAAGAAGAAGCCGAACGGTTGGCCAAGGAAAAGGAAGCCGCACTTGCAGCTCAGCGCGCTGAGATCGAGAGGGCCAAGGAACGAGAGCGGCAGCTTCAGCTAGAATTGGAAGGTCTCGATGATGAGGAGAGTTCATCTGATGACGAAGGACCAGCGAACATCACCCCTGAGGACAGCACACCGACCCAGAGCCAATTACTCCCCACAGTGACTCCTGCGGCTCCGGTTTCTGCACCAGAATCTGAACAGGCTGGCCGTTTCGAGGATACTTCCTCTCAGGCTCCAACTGTGAGCTTCAGCCCAGAGACAGAGTCCAAAAACCCGTACTTCAAGATAACGCACCAGGCCGCTGACACACAAGTGGCCTCTCCTCCACCCGCGCCGCAGACCAACGTCACCTCCCCCAAGGCTGATGTACACTCGACCAATCCTTTCCACCGTCTCGCACAGCAGGAGAGTTCGAAACCTGCTTTTACTGGATCCGCGCCTCTGGAGCGCAAATCTCGCGCGCGTCCTGAAGCAGACGATGACTGGTCTGCTGCAGGGTCTGAGCTCGACTCGTCTGACGATGACGACGACGAGCGGCCAGGAGGTGGTAGTGCTAAACAACTCGCAAGTATTCTGTTTGGTACTATGGCACCACCACGACCTTTGAGTGCTATGG